AGAAGCATGTATCAGATTGAGGGAAGTTAAAGACCTCACTGCAGCCATACAAACATGGTTGAAAGTATGGATGGAAAATATGGATAAGACGTGGTATCTCCCTCTCGTGTCAATATCCAGGCCAGGAGTTGGAGTCTGATATTCTCTGCAGGGTTTGCCCCTTCTATATCCAGAAGCCCCACCCCCCTCATCTGTTTTCCCCTCCTCTTTCCTAACAGGTGACAATTGTGAAGTGGACAGCCGGACAAGCCGCTGTGTCCCTGGCGTGTGCAGGAATGGAGGCACCTGTACCAACTCTGCAGATGGCGGCTTCCTGTGCCAGTGCCCACCCGGGGGCTTCGAAAAGCCTTACTGTGAAGTATCCACACGCTCCTTCCCCCCCAAGTCTTTCATCATGTTCCGAGGGCTGCGCCAGAGGTTCCACCTCACCCTCTCCCTCTCGTAAGTTTATCTTACAGTCATGGGGGCCGTGGCAGTGCTTAGCCGGTTGGAGTAATTTGGATGATCCAGATAGTTTCACAGGGCAGCCCTGTTGGTCTGCAGTAGAACAGCTGGATTCGAGTCCAGGAGCACCTCAGAGTCCAACAAGGTTTTCAGGGGATCAGCTTTCGAGAGTCAAGGCTCACTATCAGGGCTCTTTTTGTAGCAGGAACTCCTTTGCATATTAGGAGACACACCCCTAATGTAGCCAATCCTCCAAGAGCTTACAGTAGCTCCTGTAAGAAGAGCTCTGTAAGCTCTTGGAGGATTGGCTACATTAGGGGTGTTTCGCCTAATATGCAAAGGACTCTCTGCTACAAAAAGAGCCCTACGATTAGGGTTGCCAGGTCCCTGCCTTTTGGTGGTGGTGGGGCTCCAGTCTTCTCTCCGGAGCCTTCTTGTGCACATGCTTTGCACGCGTGCCACAATGACGTCACCCGGAAGTGATGTCATCGCACTGGGCGTGTCGCTGGGGGGGGACACTCTACCGTTCAGCCAAAAACTCCAGACAAAGATCTCCAGACTGCAGAGATCGGTTCCCCTGGAGAAGAGGGCAGCTCTGGAGGGCAGGCTCTGTGGTATTAAACCCAGTCAATATCCCTCCCCTCCGCAAGCCCTGCCCTCCCCAGGCTCTGTGCCCCACATCTCTAGGAATTCCCCAGTCTGGGGCTGGCCACCCTAAGGCAACACCACCTGCTTAGTAATTGCACAAAACCCTTCCATCGTGCCCTTCCTCTTGAGAATCTGGAGCACCTTCTGTTTTCAGGCAGTTTTGTTTCTAGGTTGTTCCTGCTTATTCTCTGAGCCTAATGAGGCATTACATGAACATGAAGCTCCTATTGATGTTTTTCAAATGAAAAAAGCGTTCTGGGATGAGGAAATTCCAAGTGATGGTCATTTCTCTATCCCTGACGCCCCTCCTGAAGGAATTGCTTTGTCCTTTGCAGGACCTAGAGATGCACTTGCCCTCTTGAATCCTCTCCTGGAAGCTTGCTGGGGGGGCAGGAAGCAACTTCTGGAAAGGAGACTTTGAGAGTAAAAATAGCAGGACCAGAAAGGGTGAAGCAACCCCCTTCCCCCTGCTGCTTCTCTGCTCAAAATCACCTTATCCTGACACTGCTTCTCAGAAAGCAGCCAGGCCTTCCTTACACATCTCTGGGCAAGCCTTGTCGTTCCCCCTTAGCTCCTCACTGGAGCCTGGCAGAGTGAGTGGTGCTGAGTACTTTTCCTTCAGAGCAGCAGCCCTTGTAAAATGGCTGGCAGATCCACAACCTGTACCTGCCCACTGATGATCCTCTACGGGGCTGTGGTGGACAGTCTTTTGCCTAAAGCACAGTCTTCATACTGCTCGGGATTTCTCTTTTATTCTGGGCAGTCAGAGGAATGAGTTGTGGCCAAATATCTCCTCAGTGGGTGTGCCTTTTTAATCTGGCAAGGGTTTCTAATGCTGTGTTCCCTTTGGTGCAGCGAAGTTCCTACCTGTGATAATCAGAATGCAACAGGTGCCGCTTTAGCTGGCTTACGGCAGCTGTGATGCACTTTGCCTATGAAATATTTGCTGATCTTTTAAGTACTTAGAGTCCTGCCAAATACCCTACTTGGTATTAATGACTGCTCCGCAAGGTTAAATGCTTCTGCAACAGCAATAGCTCCCCTCTTGCCAAGGCAATCGTATCAGATAAGTGAGTTGCGAGGAAGCCTTTCCCCAGGAGAGCTCTCATTCATCTCAGATGCTGGCTGTGCTAAAATGTGGTTGCGCATCTGATCCAATTAATCATATATGGAAGTATTTACTCTTTCCTTTCATCTGACTTGCATTCCTTGTGTTAGATTCGCCACCTTAGAGGACAGTGGTCTCCTAATCTACAATGGGCGTCTGAATGAGAAGCATGACTTCCTGGCTGTAGAGATTGTGGACGGGCAGGTGCAGCTGAAGTACTCCACAGGTGGGTACGGCCGATGAGACTACGGTACCCTCACGGAAGAGCTTCCAAAAGGGGAAAGCTATAATGAAGGCAGAATAGAGCAGTATATGAAAAGGAATTGCCCCAGTGAGAGCCAGGGTGCTTTAATGATTAGAGCGTTGGACTGGGATCTGGGAGACCCAGGTTCAAATCTCCACTTCTGCCATGGAAGCCTGCTGGGTGGCCTTGGGCCAGGCACACTCTCTCTACCTAACCTTTCTCACAGTTTTGTTGTGAGGATAAAGTGGAGGGCAGAAAACCAATGTGAGCTGCTTTGGTCCCCACTGGGGAGAAAGGTAAGGAATAAATGAATAAACAAAGACCAAATTACTCATCATGCTGAGTAGACTACAGAATATGGTCCTAGTAAAACTGAACAGCAACTGATTAATTCTTTCAGAAGACTTTATTTCTCTTGTACGTGGGGTCCTTTAAAGCATCAGAATACGGTGACTATTCCTTTCTCACAAATGGTGGTCATATTTCTAACCGTAGGAAAGCTTAGACTATTGGGAATTGGGCCAGCATGAAGAGCAGAATACTCTATTATGGAGTGTAAAATATTACAATTTAGAAGGATGGAATAGGATGGGGGGAGAGAAGCCACACATGGGTTTTTCTTTCTCTTTTATGTGTTGGTTGAGGAGAAAGCGAGGTTAGGGATACGGGGCTGCAATACCAGATACCAGTGAACCTGTGGGGGTGGGGGAGTACCGATGGATTCCCAGACTCAGAGGGGGGTAAGGCCAGGGATTACCCCTTGGAGGTGGGAGGGGCTGAACACAATTTGTTGGGTCTAGAAAATCCTGTCAGCAACCTTACAAACAAGATTCAGCCCGGGAGCTCTGTTAATTCTGCCTGAAGGGAGACTGGGTGTTGGGATCTGCACATTAATTGGTCAGTTTGTGTCTCTTTGTGAACTTTATCTGTGTGTCAATACATTGATTGTGGGCTCTATATGTTGTATAAGTATTCATCCTGTGGATTCAGCCATTAGCACTGGAAGGATGATATGTGTGGAAAGTGCTATGCTGTGCTTGACATGGGATAATGTGATTGAATAAGAGAGCATAAAGTAGGAAGTTAGGAGGGCATGCATGCACACAGGCATAGGGTATGTGAGTGCATTGGCTTGAAAAAGCATGGAATGCTAGAGGTAATGAGAGGGCATATTTGTATGCGCAGCAGCATTTGGGTGCATATGTCTGTGCATATGTGCATGTTCACACCGCATCTGGTTCAAAGGTCATGAACAGTGAAATTAGATTATATCTCAAAGGACTATTTAAGCATGCTTTCAGTGTCAGGATGAATGATCAAACTGCGTCAGTGGGGGAAACCAGGTTCTGTTTTAAGCTCTGGTTTCAAAGTCAGATATCCAGGCAACGTACCAAAACATCTGACCACATCCCTTGTTCATTTGGTTCTCTCTGAAGTGTCAGCTGTTTTTACGGATTTTCCAACCTCAAAAACCAGTGGTCAGATGTAAAGTGTCTTTAATATCGCTTCTGAAGGAAATGGCTATCGCCCCCAAGGTTCTAAAAGCATCTCAGCTGATAATAATCAAAGTGTGCAGGCGAGGAATCTAAGCGCATCAGCTTCCTTGCTTGGTAGGAAGAAGGAAAGTTTCCGATCAACACCGTGAGGCTGGACTTTTGGTGCTTTGTTTGTTTTTAGGGTGCTATTTATGGTCTCCTCTGCCTTTCTTTAAAGTGCAAATCAAGCCAGTGTTTTTATTTACCCAATTTTTATCCTGCCTTCCTCCAAGGAACTCAGGGTGACATGCATAATTATCCTTCCCTCCTCCGTTCTCTCCTTACAGCAGCCCTATGAGGTGTTAGGGTGAGAGAGAATGGCTGGCACAAGGTCACCCTGTCAGTTTCACAGCAAGTGGGGTCTGGAACCTGGCTCTGCCCAACCCTAGTCCTATCCTGTACCACAGGGGCTATTCAAATTAAGAGAATCAAGCTGTACCAACTAGTGTAATGGAAATCTATCGATCTTTTCTTAACACTGAATCACCTTTAGAAGTTTTACTTACAGCCAATGTTCTTGGGCTGTGGGGACTATTTTCCCACAATATCAAGCGCTGCTGTTTGCAAAGATTAACACCAAAGCAGGAAGTGGTTCTAAAAACCTAAAACCCACACATTTAGAGGTACAGGGGCTCATGCCTTCTCCTAATATTTAAGTTGAGATGGTTGGCCACTGCGTGAACAGAATGCTGGACTTGATGGGCCTTTGGTCTGACCCAGCATGGCTCTTCTTACGTTCCTATGAGCAGTGTTCCCTCTAAGCTGAGTTAGTGTGAGCTGGCTCACAGTTTTTTAGCCTCCAGCTCACACATTTTTGCTTTAGCTCAGGAAGGAGGGCTCCAGAGCAAACTAATTTATGCAGCGGCCAAACCGCTCGCTCACAGCTTTAACGCCAGTAGCTCACAAAGTAGATTTTTTGCTCACAAGACTCCACAGCTTAGAGGGAACATTGCTTATGAGTGCCTTATCAATTCCTCCCCGCCAAAAAAAGTTGCTGAAAACACTAAATCAACATCGCAGCATATATAACAAAGGAGCCTGTTTATTTTGTTGTGTTTTTGTGTGCCTGTGTGCAGGTTACATACTATTATGCTGGTGTTCGCAGTTATGCGCTTTTACCTACCCTTCTGTTTGTAATGCAGTGTCATTGGTTATGTGTCAGCCCTCTGGAAATGTCTTGAAATGTTGCTGCCACACATTTGAAGTGCTCCCTTAGGGTTTAATGAAGTCTATCTGGCTGGCTGTCAGTGCACTGATGGTTTTTTAAAAGTGCTCTGCTTTGCAGGTGAGTCAAGCACTGTGGTTACCCCGCATGTGCCAGGAGGTGTGAGTGATGGGCAGTGGCATACAGTGCAGCTTCATTATTACAACAAGGTAGGTGCCAATATCTTTTTGCTTTCTCTTACTATGACTTTTCAGTTTCTCAGTTGCGTTTGGATCCAGCAAGCTGCAAATACCAGCTGTTTCCTCTGCTGTCCCTTTTCAGGAGCATTGGCAGGTTGTAATTTTTTCCCCCTCTTGCTGGTAGCTGTTGTGTTCAGGACAGCCAATTCACTAAACCACTATTTAAGGCATGACTTCATATTACAAAAAAACACAAGGCTGCCATAGAAAATAGCAACCGTGTCAAATTCCCCCCATCCCATAACATCTAATTCAACTTATCCTGCGTCCTGTTGTCATCACGATGCATGCTTCTCCCCTTCTGTTCTATATCATTGGTTTCTAGTGGTGGAGACTGGGAAATACACCTAAGGACAGGAGGACCTGGGGTAAGTTAAATCAGATGGGGAGGGGGCACTCAACTCAAGCTGCCATTTTTGACAGTAGCCCCTTCTTTGTAACATGCAGTTTTGCTCTTGGATTTCTTGGCCAGCATCCTCTCAACTGGGCATGAAACAGGGGTCACTGGAGGTGTGTGGGGGGGAGGTATTTGTGAATTTCCTGCATTGTGCATGGGGTTGGACTAGATGTCCCTGAAGGTACCTTCCAGCTCTATGATTCTATGATTCCAACTTTTTTATTTGTTTCATTGTGACAACCTGCCTCTTCCCTATTGTCTAGTTGAGAGACTTCCACCATATCAGGATGCAAAGGCTGGGTTTCATGCTCTTGCAGAGGAGTCAGCCCAGAAGTGATGTCAGGGATCTTATTTACAGCGAATGTCCAAAATTTGCTGACTGTTGACATTCATGTATGAATGAGGACAATCCAAGATGAATTTTTCAAATTTCTGAAAACTAACTTAGATGACAGTGACATATATGTGATTGTTGGCATTCACTTGTGTCTGTATGAAAAGTAGGAGAATTTGCAGCTGATTTGAGTCATTTGCAACATTTCCCTGGGCTTGTCAGTAGGTATGTGACTGCCAGGTTTTAGACTCTCATTCATGTCATGAGAATGGCTAGCATTTTACAATTAATGATGATAAGGCAAACATCGTTCTATGTTGTTTGCAAGATCTTTACCTTGGAGAACATCTCTGAATCTTTACTGTTTTATTTTGATGTGGGATTGGATGCCCCATACTAAAAAAACTCTCTGCCTGTGGAAAATTAGAACATCAGAAAGAGAGGTTTTAGGCTAGCCATTTCTATCAAGTGCTACTTTTAGATATGCTCAATTTGTTTTAATTTGTTTATATAAATGATCCCTCATCTGCATTTCAAAGTGTGTGCAGTATGCAGAGAACCACACTACACCCTTTCCCAGAATGTGTAGCTTGGCTTTAATTAATGTGCAATGGGGCAACGAAGCTTTGGTGTTAGGGTGATGCTTGCTTAGTCCTTGCTTTATTGTTTCAGCCCAAGATCAGCTCCCTGGGTTCAGTTCAGGGGCCTTCCAAAGACAAGGTGGCAATCCTAATGGTGGACAAATGTGATGCATCTGTGGCACTGCAGTTTGGCAACGAGATTGGGAACTACTCCTGTGCAGCAGAAGGGGTTCAGTCCAGTTCCAAAAAGTGAGTAATGAGCAGAAGAGGAACATTCAAAAGATGACACACTTGTTCTCCCCCCCCCACTCCCCAGTTATGTCTCCAGTTCACACTGAGGTGGGGATCGGACAACAGACTGAATAACGGGAAGCGCAGACTACCGTGATGTGATCAGTGATAACCCACACCCCTCTGTCAAGTGATCAGAGATTCTCAAAGACTTAGGGTGTGGTCAAACTCTCCAGATAAAATGGGGGGGGGAAGCGAGGCTATTTCCTCCGGAGGAGTTTGACCTGCAGTTGCGAGATCACACCTCCCTTGGAAGCTGCAGGTGCAGCCCGTCAGTGTGTGATCAGACGCAACTGCAGGTGAGTTGTGGGGGGGGTTGTGCTGTTTGTTTCCCATGCGCTTAAACGAGGAATCGATGAACCGCACAACCGCACTAAGGGCTCCCTATGGAGTTTGCGATGATGTGCATACTGCAGAGGTGGGGGGAAACAACGACATGGAGTTGGGATGGCCTGATCAGACTGTGCTGTGCTGGGGTGATCAGACAGGGGAAAGTCCATTGGTTAACCTTCGCAACCTGTTTACTACTGGATTTTCCCCAGTGTCTTTGGCTGTGGCCAATGGCTGCGGGATGCTTCCCAGATGTTGTTGTCTGATCGCTCCCTTTAAATCTGCCCGGCATTCGTACCTGTGTGAGGTCTAATTGTGCATATGATCGCAGCCTCAAACAGAGGCTGATCTGTGCAGGTCATTGTCTCCAGATTTTTGCCTTTCTAGCCCAGGCTGCGGAGGCATTAAAAATGCACAGATGCAGTTTGTGTCACCCAACAGAGTATACAAAAGGAAGTGAACACACCGCTATGCTGGGCAAAGAACCTTCCAAATGCTTGATCTGTCAGGTGCAGTGGATTTGCCCCATGTGTGAGGGCTCAGACGGCATTGGTGACATTCCATAAGCAGAAAAGCAGTCAGGGGCTTTGACCCTGGAATGGAGGACATTTGCAGTTGAGGGTGTTCAAGGCCAAAGCCCAGGAGGGCAGCTAACATTGGGAGAGATGGAGAAAGATAGGAGCAAATAAGAACAAGAGTGAAGATACAGCTGAAAGTTCTCCCCTGCAGTTGTTCTTACCTATTAGAGGAATGTCCACCTTATCCCAAGAGACACTATCCTAATAGATATGTATAATATATGTAACCCGCTTTAGACATCTCAGAGGAGGAAAAGCAATAAAGGAATAATAATAATAATAATAATAATAATAATAATAATAATAATAATAATAATAATAATAATAATAATAATAATAATAATAAATACAACCTTTCTCGAAAGCAAGAAATTGCAAGTAGATAAATAGGTACCACTTCGGTGGGAAGGTAAGAGTGTTCCGTGTGCCTTGGTGTTTAGTCATGCCGGCCACATGACCATGGAAACGTCTTCGGACAGCGCTGGCTCTTCGGCTTTGAAACGGAGATGAGCACCGGCGCAACCCTAGAGTCGGACTCAACTGGCTTTCGAGCAGGGGAGCCTTTACCTTTACCTTTTTAATAATTAGTTCAGCATAACAGGATAAGGTTTTGTGTATGGACCTTTACCTTTTCAGGTTGGATTGACTCCCTACAGGGAGTTGTGTTTTTCCTAATGGCACCCCTGGGCAGACAATAAAATATGTGGGGATAACCCTCTGATGGATGGGGTGTGGGGTTGCACCTGCTGGCTCAACTGCTGCCCTGCATGTGTTGATCTCATTTTCTGCACTGAACCTGCAGACTGTGCACAGATTAAGTATTTCTCTGCATGGTTCATAGGGCAATCCTTGGAATGCTTTCCTAGGGAGCAAGCCCCATTGAGTAGATTTCAGGAGAATTCTGAGCATTGCTCCCCTAAACGTTGATGAATATAGACTCTGTGTAGAAAATCCCAGATATCTAAAGAAGATTTTACATGCCAGTAAAGGTAACTGGACTGGAAAGAAGATTTCCCAATAAAATGGCTGGGATTGGGGGCCAGCTGGTGTGATCCCATGTCTCCCTCCATTCCTGGATTACCATCACATTTCTTCTGTCTGCACAAGATCTTTACTGCTTTAGGCTCCTGATCTTCCTGTTGATGGAGTTTTTAATATGTTTACTGCAAGGGGTAGACAACATTTGTAGCCCAATGGCTGGGAAAATATATATGCAATGTTTACCTGTGAAGATGCTGGCGTTCCTGCAAACAAAATGTGTGTGTAGCAGTGAAGGTTGAACACATATGTATAACCTTCATCTCTCTCTCTCTCTCTCCCCCACATTTTGTATTTGACCAGACACACATGGAGCAACATAAGGCCCAGCAGCACAATCCCAGTGTGTCAGGGATTTGCCTTGGACTCAGGTGGTGGCTGTGCAAATCTGGAAGACTTGCACCAGTGGCCATGGCAGTTTGGCTTTCTTGGATGGAGATCTAACACTGGGTACCAAGCTAAATGGCCTGGTATGCTGCTGTTTGGCGCATGTGCTGTGGGATGCCTACCCCTAGTTTAGTGGAACTTGTGTATAAGAATCCTAAAACCCCTTCCATTCCAATTCACTGAACAACAGGAGTTAGAGTCTGGGTGAAAACATGCAAATCCAAATCATGATCTAAATTTGTGTTAGTGATTATAAATTCAGGAAGAGAATGTGGTAGTTATTGTGGAATAATTATTGGTAGGTGTACGATAACAATAGTACCAAAACAACCATCATTGAATGTTCCAAGCACTTTACAAATGTCTGTTTTCCTTGAGATAATCCTGTAAAATGAGTCATATTACATGTACATGGTAATAGCTGAAACCACAGTATTGTCAAGGACTCTGTACATCTAGCAGCATGAATGTGAGACTGAGCATATGGGGAAAATTCAGTCTTAAGAACATGGCGGTATGGGGAAAGACTGAAGTCTTGTGTGTGTGTGTGTGTGTGTGTGTGTGTGTGTGTGTTCAGGGCTTGACTAGGTTCTCTTGCAACACATGCAGGGAGGTGGCTGGAGCAGGGTCTAAAAAGTCAAATTTGTCAATTGCCAAACTCAGAAGCCGCAACTGGTGTTTTTTAAAGATACATGCTAACTCCAAAACTGAGGAAAGAGGCCATGCTGATACACCTATCTCAGAATAAATAAATCCAGAAGGAGTGGAGTACATGAAGCAGTTCATGTTTGGAAAGTCTGATGTCCCATCGCAGTCTTGGCTGCCAATGGTTCTTCCCAAATCCTGCATGCCTGGCTGAGGAACCATCCAAGTCCTATGGCTGCATTATTATCCCCCTGAAAAATCTGTGCATGTAGCTTCTGCATTTTCCTGTCTATGCTGAGAATTAACCAAACAACCTGCTACCCGTCTTCCATCCCTAGCTAAAGACAACCTGTTGTGGAAATCTGACCCATGGTGTGAAAAAGTCACTGCAGGGAAACTGCACCAATGCCACTTATGGGCCTTTTCTTCCTTCAGATCGCTGGACCTCACTGGGCCCTTGCTCCTTGGAGGGGTCCCCAATCTGCCTGAGAATTTTCCTGTTGAGCACAGGGAGTTTGTGGGGTGCATGAGAGATCTGTACATTGACAGTAAACGCATTGACCTGGCTTCCTACATTGCAAACAATGGGACTTCCACAGGTAATGTCGTCTGTTTAACCATGGACCTTGCAAGGCCCTTCCTCTCCCACCTTTTCCCTCCCTTTCCACTGCACAGTTACAAAGAGCTTGTTATGCTGGCTTGATGGTTTAGGAGTGTAGTAAACATCTGCATATGGAGGAATTGTGGAATGACTTCCCAAGTTATTACTGTAATTATAACCAGCTGGCCCTCTGCTGCATAGCTCTGGCTGTCAAAACTCCTGGAATACGAGAGAGGCTCAGGGAAAATGCATGCCTATTTGCTCTTAGAGGTGTCTAGGGAAAATGCATGCTGGCTTGGCTGGATCTAACATGGTTCTAATCTGGATACCTGTGTTTATTCACTGCCTGGACAAGACGGGGGATAGACTGAAACTATAGACCAAAGATTTGAAAATGTATCCTACAAGTAGTTCTTGGGACACCACCCCAAATCTGTCCTGCCTTAGTGATTTGCTTCAGGCCTATATACCTACCAGTAATGCAGCCTGGTCCTGGGTCCCTGAATGTGGCCTTTGAGGTGGTGGCAAGTGAAATTTGCCGAAATTGGGAGGATAGGCAACACTTGAGAGCCATGTATTAATGAAAGTAAATTATGACATCAAGAGATACTCCTGTCTTTTATTAGTATGAACTGCTGAAGTTTGGCCCCGATTTCATAGCCTAATAAAATTAGGAGCTGAGGTCAAACAAGATGCCACCTCAAGTAAAAATCTGCTCTTTTGTCTCACTTGCGCTGTTCACCTGAAATGTTCTTAGGTTGCCATGCCAAGCACTCCTTCTGCGATTCAAACCCTTGCAAGAACAGCGGCACCTGCACTGTGGGCTGGTCCACCTTCACCTGCAAGTGCCCCGTAGGCTTTGGAGGCAAGGACTGCCAGCATGGTAAGGGGGGGGGGGAGGCTGAAATAACAAATGTGAATGAGGGAGAGATGTCCCGGGCTTTCATGGGAGCGCACCTCAGAAGATGACTTAAATTAAGGGTATTGTGCTGCCCCTGGAATGGCTCTGTTAGGAAGTGGGATAGGATTTCTAAAGATGATGGCAACAGCAGTTGAGTTATAGAGAGAGGCTATGTTGTTGGTCTTCCTTTTGAGCAGTAAAAATGCCCCAGTTGTTTGGGTACTAAGGGTAACATGTATGGAAGATATAGAAACTCCTCACAATCATTTGGCAGGGGACAGTGCTAGGCTGTGGACTACTTGAATGACAGGGCTTATTCTTCAGAGGGAAGTCATGAAAGCCTTGGATATAACATGAATTCCTTGACAAAAGAAGATTGGACATTGGCCTTGTGTTGGCTTGTGAAACTCTGGGTACCCATAAAGAACTCCTGCTTGAGAGGTCCTTTGATCTGGCCTCACACATTTTCATCAGAGCCTCTTAAGATACATTTTATACTCAGATAAACACATTTGACTTCAAAACACATGCATATGGCTCACGAAGGCTGCATGTACACGAACCATTCTTTAAAATACATGTCAGTGATGACTAGGAAAGGATCCAGTCCTTATTTTTTAGTGTTTCAAAGAGAAGATCACATTTAAATATATATGTGCCCTTCTTCAATGATACAATACACCTTTTTTTTTTTGCTCAGGCATCTGCACCAACGTAGTACAAAATTTATAACAAGTAGCAGCTTGCAGAGATTTTCCAGAGTTCAGGATGGACTACTTTCCCAAGAGTTCAACCTAGATCTATCAGACTCTTACTAGTAATCTGATCAAGGCTCTTGTTTTCCTAAGCATGCTATGTAAGGATAAACTTCTACCCCTCTTTCCAGGCCCAATTCAGTGACATGTCCTTAATGGCATAAAAGTCTCTGGAGGGGGTGAGAATCCTTCTTGCATCCTTTGTGCTCTTCCTTTTCCAGTCATGCACCATCCTCACCGTTTCCAAGGCAACAGCATCCTTTACTGGGACTTCAAGAATGAAGTGAAAATCTCCACTCCCTGGTATATGGGCCTAGCATTCCGGACACGCCAACTGGAGGGAGTGTTGCTTCAGGCTCATGCAGGCCAGTACACCACCCTACTGTGCCAGGTACTATGCCAGTCAGTATACCATCGAATACTCTGCTGCTACCAAAGCTGGTAGCCAATGTCCTGAGATGTGTTTGTGCCCTGTTAAGGAAAATGGAGCTCTTCTGTGGCTACAGGACAAGGAACAGCTTTGAACACGCAACTTAACATACGAAGCTGCCTTATGCTGAGTCAGACCATAAGTCTATCAATGTCAGTATTGTCTACTCTGACTGGCAGCAACTCTCCAGGGTCTCAGACAGCAGTCCTGCATATCACCTACTACCTGATCCTTGGTTTTTTTTTACCTAGAGGGATTGAGCCAGGGACCTTCTATATGTAAAGAAGGCCTTCTAACACTGACCCATGGCATGCTACTGCAGCAAGGGTTCCTACACATTGCCTCTCAAGTAATGTAACAATGGGTCTCCTTTGGGATATGCAATTTACAATGTTGTATACCACCGCGAAGTACTACTAAGTATAAAGCTGAGAGGGCCAAACCTTCATCCTGAAGGTGTTTAGGCCTGCCTGAACTCAGCACCCGTCCCTACTAATACGTAAAGCATCTGTGATGAATTATTTATTTATTTATTAGGAACAAGGAGTTAGGCTAACATGAGCTGCTTCGGCCTTGCTTACTGGGAAGAATTTGGTTTGTTTTGGTTTTGTTATATCTTTAGCTGGACTCCGGCCTGCTCTCCTTCATGGTGAACAGGGGCTCCGGGCGTATCACCAAGCTCCTCGTGGACCACATGCAGCTGAATGATGGGAAATGGCATGACCTACAACTTCAGCTACAAGATGTACGCGGCAGCCGAGAGACACGCTACATCATCACTCTCAATCTGGACTTTGGACTCTACCAGGTGAGCTCTGTGCGTGGGTGCACATTGTGTATGCTGTGGGAAAGCATAGGGCTGAATTATAATCCGTCGATCATATTCCCTTCCTCACTTTAAGACTGCATTTTCTTTGGCTCTCTCTTGCTCGTATAAATGTGTGGTCACTGTTAGATGGTGCTCTTCCTGACCTATGGCTAGGAATTTATGGAATCAGCAGTACTCTGGTTACTGCTTCTGACCTTTATGGAACAAGGCTTTCAGGAAGGTGAGACATTAATCTGTAAGCAAGCGATATAAGCAACCATGTGTGTGAAATTCCCATTTTTCTGTTTTCTTTTCTCAGGACACCATAGCTGTTGGAAATGAGTTGCATGGTCTGAAAGTTAAGCATCTCCATGTTGGGGGAATCTTTGATTCTGGTAAAGTGCATCGTGGTTTGGAGGGCTGCATCCAGGTGAGTTCCCACAAGCTCCATTCGTTCATGATGTAATTCAGAGATGGCCAACATCTACAAATGGGAAATTAAAATCCCCATATCAAATGCCTTGCGGGTATCTCCTTTTCCAAGGACAGGTTCTCTCTGGATAGGTATGTCTTGAGTCACTGGACTGGTGCTTTGAGTCACTGAGAGGCAGGGCTTCCTTGCAGAGAAAACAATCGCACATCTTGGCAAGAGCTGATGGGTGATTTTCCAGAACACTTTCTACCCTAGGAGATGATGGCCAAAAGGTTCTTACATATTGGCTGGTTGGGAAACCTAAGTGATTGACAATAGATGGAGTCAAGGATGCTCTTGTAAAACTGGAAGGAATGCAGCATAAAAGATGGAGACAAGGATGCTCTTGTAAAACTGGAAGGAATCATTCAAGCAAAAGTTCTTTGTTTTTTAAAAAAAAATTAAAATCCTGGAAAGCCTACCTGACATGCCTTTTCCATTTGGTTTTCAGGGAGTGCACCTAGGTGACACGCCCACAGGGAATGCGTTAGTTAAGCCCAGCAGCACTTTGAACGTGGAGGCAGGGTGCACTGTGGCCAACCCTTGTGACTCCAGTCCTTGTCCAGACAACAGTATATGCCAGGACAAGTGGCAAACCTATTCTTGTGTGTGCCAGCCAGGTAGGAGGTGGACACGCAGCACGGGCTGCAGTTTTTGTTCTCATTCTGTCTCTAACCATTGCTTGGCCTCCCCTCTTATATTCTCTTTTTGATTTGTTTCCTTTCCCGTGTTCCTCCTCCACTATTTTTCTTTAGCCTTCTCACAGGTACTTTACCATTGGCATTTTACGGTTATTCATGTGCATTATTCCTGCCCATTTACTTCTGCATTGTATCTCCCTGACATAATAACTCGTTTGTGCCTTTAGCAAAGCAAAAACACCCATCTGAACAAATTGAGGTTATAAATCTTTTTTACAAAAGCAGTAAACTAAGGGAGGGGGGGGAGGACTCTTTTGCAAGCACCAATGTTTTCTTACCAATTTGGCCAGGGTTTAATGATTGTTCTTACTGCCAGGAATGACTGAGCATTGAGCACTATAAAGTGACATCTAGTGTCCCAAGTTGCCTCCTCTTGTCACCTTCAAACAGCCTCATTTACCCAAGGCTTCCTCAAGAAACCCAGTCATTGGGAAATGAAAGTAATTTCCTAATTCAATAGTCAACTGAACTAATACTTTGGGCCACAAAAATGTAAATCAAATAAAAGTGCATAACGTTCACAGTTTGCATAATGTATTCTGAATGTGGCCTTTGGGTTTCTTTGTTGCAGAATTTTAATCGGGGGGGGGGGACATAATTCAGAAGGGCTGGCTTGCACTGAGAGCCGCTCTAATAAATTCTGGTCTGTGTTAGAGAATTATCCCATCTTTGACACATGTTTTTAAAGGGGTTCCCTGAAAATATGTACTCTTTCTGGCCATGGCAGTGTCTGTCTGTTCTTCCAGGCTACTATGGTGAGAGCTGTGTTGATGCCTGCCATCTGAACCCTTGCAAGAACAAGTCAGTGTGTCGACGAAAGCCAGGTTCACCCCATGGCTATGTCTGTGAGTGCGGAGAAAACTACTTTGGACAATATTGTGAGCACAGGTGAGATTATGCACCGTTTGGTGCATGTGCTTTATTTAGGGACTGTATCTATTCAGAGATGCTTCAGCATCCTGCATGCCTAACCAAGAGACATTTATCCACCTCTGAAGTCTATTCCCTGGTTTATATGGACTTCCTTGCCCCAGGGATCCCTGTAGGGTTCCTGTATGGAGAAGGAAAACCAGGCTCCTGTTTCACCTACTGAATACAGTTCTTTGTATATTCCTCTTCTAAGTTCTAGTTTATAGATTACTTTTCAATGTGGTAGATGGCACCTACTTAGAAGCCCAAAGCTTTTAAGAGAGCTGGCCCTCGGAAGGCTTAGGCAGTCAGAGAATGAGCTTTTGTTACCAGCTGATAATGCTATTTTGTTGATACATCTTCTTGTTACCCCTTTATTGGAGAGACTATAAGACACTGAGACTCATCCCCCTGTGCCTTGGCATCCAGGCCACTTTCATTAGCTAATCAGACCCTTCCCCCAGCTTCCTCTACCTTGGAGACATGAAGCAAATATCCTGTTTCCCCGAAAATAAGACCTAGCCTTGGAGACATGAAGCAAATAGTACGTGATTGTCTCTAAAGCTGTGCCAAATGTTTGCCCATTTCATTTTGGAGAGCAAAAATACTGCTTCTGAGATGGGGTGAATATTCCCATTCTGAACATTTTGTTCATTGCCCTTGCTTCCCTGGTCTGCTCTTGCTCCTGTGCTATGTGGGCAGGAGAGAGACTGGTATTCTTCCCAAAAATATTCATCCAGTCAACTGGCAGTGCCATAATAGACACGAGAACACCACGACATTACCTAGCCAGTTAGATTTGGCTGTGTAAAGCCAATTGAGAGAGAGGGTGCTTTCTGGATCAGTACTTCCCAACTGCTGAAAATCAGCAAAACAGGGGCTGCGGTCAGATGAGCAGTTTGATCCAGTGTTGTTGCTGTTCCCTGTTGGATTTAAAGTGCATGATCAGACAGCAACATCTACCTCCCGTTCCCTAGTCGTTGGCATTCCGTTCAAAAAACAAACAAACAGCTTCTGGTTTCAGCACATGGACATACATGCGCTTAAGAAATTTCATTTTTTTTTAAAAAATGTCAGTGCTTATGAATTTCCTTGTGAACTGAAGCTGGTTGGGAAGTGTGAACCTCCAGGTCTGTGTCTGCCTTTTAAAAAATTGTTGGTAATGTGCACATAGGCACATATGCACCCAAATTTTTTTTAAAACCAGACAGCGCATTCTGTGGTTGACATGCAGCACTAATCTGGACCACAGAGCGAGTGCGCAGTGATGCTGATTCAAGGTGTGCTGTCTGATCAAAACTTTCCAATACAACATAAACTGGTGCAGCCTGTCTGACTGCAACCAGGGAGTGCTTTTTTCCTAAACTGCTAATGAAAGTTTTTGCAACACCCCCCACTTCATCCAAGGTCATTATGTATGTTTTGTTAAAGGTATTAGTTACCTTTGTAGAAAACACTGTGAATAAAGTGACTTGACAAAAAGGCAAAACAACTAGTATTAAACCCTAACAGGCTAAACTTTAAAACAGGTAAATATTAAAATCAGCTAAAGGTTTGCCTGCTATTGTACTTTCACTTGCTAATCGGACCATCAACAAGGCGGCGCCCTGGATGCAGAGCCTCAGGTATCCACACCCTGTGTCTCTTGCAGGATGGACCAACAATGCCCCAAGGGCTGGTGGGGAAACCCAACATGTGGACCCTGCAACTGTGATGCAGCCAAAGGATTTGACCCAGACTGTAATAAATCCAATGGGCAATGTCGTTGTAAGGTGAGATTCTGGACCAACTCTTGACACAGCTCATAATCTGGAATATTCCCTTTCACCTGCATCCATTTTTTAATACAATGAGTCTCACTCACTATTTCCTCTATGGGGACCCTTGCAGACTCCTTGTAATATTCGACCTTTCCCCTCTCTCAGCCCTTGCAGCCTCTGTTAGCACACAGCCACTCCTAGATCCCCACTCCAATGCTAGGAGAAGAGTCGGTGGAAAATTCTGAATTCTTGAGAGGCCCAATGGAGAGCTACTTTTCATCTTAGTGCCTCAGAGATCTGATGGGCAGGGAAGATTCAAAGCAGAAGTTGGCTAAAAGCACAGTGGGAGGACAACCCTTTCTGTAACGGAAGAAGTAACTGTTAGTAGCACTGTATGGTCTTCCTATTCATCCTGGCTTACTGGGCTGCCTCTGCTTTCTGCTGTCCTAACTGTGGCCCTCTCTTTATCCCACCAGGCCTCCTCTCCCCACCCTTTCTTCCACTGTTTCAATAGGCTCCCTTTGTGGCCTGTATCCCTCGCCTCCAGTTTTGTCAGCCCTTTACTCCCACCACTCCCCCTCGTCCTGTGACCCAGCTCTAACCACCTTCCCTGCTCCTCTCCCTTCTTCCCACAGGAATTCCATTATCGTCCCAAAGGAAGTGACACCTGTCTTCCCTGTGACTGCTATCCCATTGGCTCCTCCTCCCGTTCCTGTGATCAGGAAACGGGCCAGTGCCACTGCAGGCCAGGTGTGATTGGCCGACAGTGCAACAGTTGTGACAGTCCTTTTGCAGAGGTGACTCCCAGTGGTTGTCAGGGTGAGTTTGTGCCAGGGATATTTTTAAAACAGGTCTGAGGCAGCCTCCTCTCCCCCCCATCATACTAGGGAATTTAGCCCACTGGCAGCTGCCTCATCAATCAGAGCTGGGATGTCTATCTCTGGGGAAAGAAAACGATCATTTAAAATTATGATGTGCTGGACGGAAGTGTAGGTTAGAAGAAAGACTTGCAGGCAGACAGCAACCTGTATGAGGTGAAAGGTCTTTTGAGCTTAATTTTGGAAGGAAAAAATGTGCCCCCTCCACTCGATAACCCATGGTTTTAGCATAAGAATATAGGAAAGTGGAACAGCAAAGCACAGAAAGGTTCAGAAAAAAGCAGGACAACCACTTCAGCAGTAAGACATTGGTGGCTGACGTATAAGCCTAAAACATCTGGCAGAGGTGTCCTTACATCTCTTTTTGAAAACAAAATAAAATGGATCACAATACCTAACATGTAATGTTTGCAATAAAGAAAACAGAAAAAAGGATTGCCCTGAATGTTATATTTGCTATTCCAATATTTATTACATATTATCTAATTTTCAATATGCTAATCCTGTTGTTCATTTCTCATTATAATACAGTTAGCTATTTCTGCTATGTTTTAAGACATTCATCAGGCATAGGAGACTTCATACAAACCCTGGGCATAGCAATAAATCTGTCGAAACTCCACACCACACCACACCAATCCAGTTCTACCTTTCCACCAGTTCAGAAGTTGATAAATCAGTTCTTTGGTAACTCACATCGTAACATTCTTTGATTGGTCCTATAATTCCTTGCCCTGCTCCCCCCTTTTCCAGGTTGGATTTTCTCCTATGTCATCATCTGGCCCTCTATTATATCTGCGATACTTTGCCTTCTAGGTGATATTTTTATTTATAAACACTCGTAAATACTATTTAAACATGACTTCGTATTACTTCTCCCTCAGTTGATGAAGGTCAACACTGAGGAGTGCTTGGCCTTTTCCTTGAAGTGCTCTCCGTTCTATCTTTGGGATGGAGCTCGTCCCCTTGACTCCAAATGACTTAGTTTCTGTGTTTGCCTTCACAGTGCTCTACGATGCATGCCCTAAATCTCTGAAAGCTGGAGTGTGGTGGCCCCAGACCAAGTTTGGCTTGCCAGTGGCAGTACCTTGTCCCAAAGGTTCCTTGGGTAAGCTTTTCAGCAGGCAAATGTGTATAAGGTGGTTCTACACTGTTCAGACTCAGAGAGGCTAGACACTTTGCTAAGTCTTCTCTGCTAAGATACTACATCTCTTATTTATTTATTTGTTTGTTTATACTTTCTGTATTGCCTTTCTTCATTAGCCGTGCTTTTCTGTGCTACTCAAGCTAACCTCTAAGGACCATTGTTGTCCAGAAGGGCTTGAAGCAGTGGGGAGTTATAATGTAGAATCAAGGATGGTTGCTGTCCTGCAAAGAACACTCATGAGAACAAACAGAACCTTCACTATAGCGATCCAGCTGTAGTTCGGAACTGGGGGTGTCCGAGTATAATGTCTCACAGCCCAGAAATTCCATATGGGCTTAGTTGAGAATTAGTTCAGCCCAGCTTCAGCAGCACCAGTCCTTCCCACTGATTCAATTGTCTCCTTCCCTTCTTTCCTGCTCAGGGATGTCCCAACAGCTTCTGGTACCACAGGCTGCTTACATGGCCAGGCAGGCACCCCACCACCACTCACCTGGCTGGGCACTGCCCATTGTCACCCACCTGCCAGCCATGCTCTGAGCCAGGGCAGCCTGAGCCAGGAGTGCTCCCACCTACCAGAGGGCTGGAACGCTGCCTGGTGCAATGGAACAAGCAGCCACCTTCTCTCTCTCCCTCCTTCCCTCAAGGGGGTGGGGCAGAGGAAGGAAGGCTAGATGAGGTGGCCACGGCTCAGTGGTAGAGCCTCTGCTTGGCATGCAGAAGGTCCCAGGTTCAATCCCAGGCATCTCCAGTTAAAGAATCTGGCAGTTGGTGACGGGAAAGACCTCTGCATAAGGCCCTGGAGAGCCACTGCTAGTCTGAGTAGGCAATACTGACCTTGATGGACTAAGAGTCTGATTCAGTATAAGGCAGCTTCCTGTAAGAGCTGCTAAGTTTGCCAGCAAGGAAGGAGGGAGTCCTTCCTTCATGGGGGTGGGGGAAGGAAAGCCAGGCCAGCCACTGCGCCAACTGCTTGCTGTGGCAAGCCTCTTTTAGTGACCTGACCCCCCCTTCACTTTGACACCCTAGACAATTGTCTTAAGTCCACTTAGTGGGCAGGTCACCCCAGTTCCTGTGACAATTACCTGGCAGTAGCTCTGAGGATTAGGGCTGCTGTTGGGGTCTTCAGTAGGACCTGGAACTCTGCAACAGCGTTGTGGTTACAAAGACCCCTGACACATCCAGGGACCCTGTACTTGGAATGTTATTGCTGCCAGGAAAGGGGACCATGAGGGGCTTAGAATGGCTTTGGAGGTGTGAGGCCTTTAGGTGTGAGCTGTATTGTGTTCCTGATGAGCTTAATTTAGGTGAGCTCATTCCAAACTGAGCCCATCTCGTCCTGCTTTATAAGGGCTGCTCTGTGTGGCTTTTCCATTTCCTGCTTCCTGCCTGAGACACCACCAGACCCCACACTTTCCCCACCTGTCACACAGGGCTGCTGGCACTCTTACTAATGCCTTGCCTGGCTCTGATTTCCTTGTAATCCCATGTGACCATCCTCACCACCACCAGCTTCCTTACCTTTTCCCCAAACACTAACCTGCAGAAAACCACTTGCAGTCACAATCAACCTGCTTAGCTCGTTTGCATATTGCCTTGATGCTCTTTCATCAGTTTTGAATGGCCTAATACCCTGCTAAATTCTGGTGCTCCGAGAAATGGATGTTGTATTGTGCCTTGGTGTAGGATGCATTTTGTTTCCTCCTCTCTGCCATGGGCCTTGGCCAAAGAGTGGTATTGATAACTGGAGAAAGCTAGTTAGAGCATGAGAAAGGAGGCTAATTGCTGCCTGTTGTGTTGGCTTTCCCACTACTGGATAATCCAAGGGAAGCTAAAGGAATTCTTGGCTACCTCTTAGAACTAAAGGCTATTTCACATGTTACGTTCCTCAAGGAGCTGTGGCCAATCCTGACCCCTTAGATGACTGATACACATTTTTAGAAACATTCACTTGGTGCATTTGTACATTTTTAGTGGAATACTTTTTTTAAAAAAATGTACGTGCCACTTTCTTGGTTCACATGAGTGCCATGATTGCCTCTTTCTGGTAAGAAGAGAAAAAATCAGAGCCAGTTTGGTGTAGTGGTTAAGAGCACGGACTCTAATCTGGGAGAACCAGGTTTGATTCCCCGCTCCTTCTCCACATGCAGAAGAAGAGATTGGATTTATACCCTGCCCTTCACTACCCGAAGGAGTCGCAGAGCGCCTTACAATCTCCTGTCCCTTCCCCTCCCCACAACAGACACCCTGTGAGGTAGGTGGGGCTGAGAGAGCTCTGAGAGAACCGCTCAGAAAGCTAGTTAGAGCATGAGAAAGGAGGCTAATTGCTGCCTGTTGTGTTGGCTTTCCCACTACTGGATAATCCAAGGGAAGCTAAAGGAATTCTTGGCTACCTCTTAGAACTAAAGGCTATTTCACATGTTACGTTCCTCAAGGAGCTGTGGCCAATCCTGACCCCTTAGATGACTGATACACATTTTTAGAAACATTCACTTGGTGCATTTGTACATTTTTAGTGGAATACTTTTTTTAAAAAATGTGTCACTTTCTTGGTTCATATGAGTGCCATGATTGTCTCTTTCTGGTAAGAAGAGAAAAAAATCAGAGCGATTTTGGTGTAGTGGTTAAGAGCACGGACGATTGGATTTATACCCTGCCCTTCACTACCCGAAGGAGTCGCAGAGCGCCTTACAATCTCCTGTCCCTTCCCCTCCCCACAACAGACACCCTGTGAGGTAGGTGGGGCTGAGAGAGCTCTGAGAGAACCGCTCTGGAGAGAGCAGCTCAGAGAGAACTTGTGACTGACCCAAGGTCACACCAGCAGCTGCAGGTGAAGAAGTGGGGAATCAAACCCACTTCTCCCACATTAGAGTCCACGCTCTTAACCACTACAAGTAAATGGAAAATCCACGTGAACCATGTGAATGGAAGCTGTACACATATGGAAAATCCATGTGTCGCCCAAACCCAATTTTATGGCAATCGCATCACACACTCCCAAAACACATGGCTGGCAGGCTTTCTGCTCTGCAACACAACGTAATGTCTGCAGAGTGCTACACTGGTTTCCTAACTACTTATGCATACAAGCCACATTGTCTTTTGTGGCTCCTTTTAAGACATGCTGACCCAAAGTAATTTGAGCCAGGTATGAGCCACAGAGCATGTTTTTACCAGATCAAGTCCTGAGCTACAGCATTGCTTGGTTTACTCCATTTCTGTCTACCCTCATTGGCAGCCGTTGCCCAAGGACATGGTTTTTTCCTTGCCTTCATGCCTGAGATGCCAAGGATTGACCCTGGGGCCTGGTACATGCAGAATGTGTACTTTACCACAATTGAGGCCTCTGGGATGACTAGGAGAGTGTCAGTGCACCAGATTTAGCATGCGGATGATGTAGAGAACATCAGAGAGTTCAACTGTGAGAGGAGAAGCCCGTCGTTTCTCATGAGTTCTCTTGGCTCCAGCATTGACTTGAATAATCCTGGCCCTGGCAGAACTTCAAACTTTTCCATTTGTAAAATGACAAAAATGACAGACTGACTAGACCAACTTGGAATGTTAAGGGATCACAGCTGTTGTTACCCTCCTGATGTTTTTCCCATTCAGGTCACTGCCAAACACACTTCTAGTGCCACTGGTGAGGATGGCAATTGGTGCGGGTCATGCGGATGATAGTGCTGGTGCTGTTCGTGATAACTGATGGATAGCATTAAGGACGACTTAATGCTCCCACTAGATATCTATATTGTGTTTTTATATAGATATCAATAGCGTGGGCCTGTTGGCTCTGGTGATCCTGGTGACATTCTAGTGTTCTAGAAAGCTGCATGGCTGTGTCGTGGCACAAACTGTTGCAATCTTGTGCTTTAGTGCAGTGCCCAGTGGGTTAATGCTTGAGAAGGTCACATTCCCTTAATGTAAGACATGTAAGTCTCTAACCCTTCAAGTCAACCCCTCCCCCCACCAAACAAAAAAACCCTGGAAAATACACAGGCAGTGTCAGAGCCTGTATAAACTTGATGCAAGATAGATTGATGTGAATCTGAGAAGCAGGGGGGCCGTGGGGGGATGGAGTGCTTAATCTTCTCCTTTCCTGTTGCACGCCCGTTCTGAATCGTCCTCCAGGCTTCTCCTCCTCCTCTTCCTTCCAGTCATCCCAATATGTGTTTGCTGAATTACTCCTCTTGAACGTGTTGTCGCCGAATATGTTAAATTTTGCAAGCAAACTTTACGTGGACGAAATGAACAAATTATTCCCAACCCAGAGCAAGTAGGTTGCGCTTGTCCCAGATGAGGCAATCCAAGCGATTTATCATATGTGGATTCTACCTACATTTGGGGGAAGAAAGGATCACAGTATGAGGCAGGGATGTCACTCCTGCTATCCCTGAATGGTATAGTTTTTACTTTGGGGAGCACCTTACACAGTAATGCAAGCATTCTAAGACCCCCCACCTGTCATGCGATGGGTTCTGCAGGCGTTCAGTGAGAGACCGTCCATTCTCAGGAGTGCATAGTACTCAATCTGAAACTGACAAAATCCCATTCTCAGGAGTGCATGAGCCAAGCATAGTACTCAATCTGAAACTGACAAAATATTGCCCGATAAAACTTTGATTCCACACTGATCTTCAGCACCTATGTGTCTATCCACCCTCAAGGGCTTGAGTGATTGCTGTGGTATTCCAGAGAGACTTAAAAAACTAGAAGAGTTCACAGATATGAGGATCAGTGATGTGGGATTCCCTGTTTTACGGCATCTGCTCTTTAAAAGCCTTTTTAGCCATCCAATCATGGAGAACATTATTATACCATGTGACACACTAGACACAGAGAATCGGTGACTGATTAAATTCTGTTCTCGACAACTCTCCCAGCTTGAAAATATTTAATCTCAGCATTTGGGAGAACGCCCACGAGCTCAAATTAATGCACATTAAATCGGAATTGTTAGCAAATTACTTGCTAATGAAATGCAGGGTTTGTAAAGCCTCCTCGGAATTGGTTCCCTCACTGGTGCTGGTCCTCGGTGTTACTGGTATTGCCAATGCTATTCTCAGTCATTCTGATCTGGCAGAGTGCTTTGTTGTCTCAGCAGTCTTTCCCTGGCCAACTGCAAGGGAACGGCCCTCTCAGTTTGCAACGTTTATATTCTTCCTTCTCTCAGGTGCGGCCGTTCGGTACTGTGATGAGGAGAGAGGCTGGATGGAACCAGATCTCTTCAACTGCACATCACCCGCCTTTAAGGAGCTCTCAGCACTGGTATGTGTGGACTGTTTTATGGTGCTCATTCAATGCATTCAATGCATCAGACCTGTGCAAGAAACACAATATGTGTACCAGCCTACACCGACACCCTAGTTAGTCTGTATAGCATACCCAAGGTACAGCACATATAGCGCATGATATCAGCATGTAGGATATGGTGCTATGTCAAAAGTTGTTTTCTCAGTTGTTATTTTTGCAGTTCATTGACTGGGATACAATAATGCTTTTCTGCCTATATTTTACAGTAGTAATTTTTCTTTCTGTCCATTCGGATATTTTTGTATTGAATTGAACTATATTGTAGAGAAGGAAATGGCATGACAATACTCTGTGCACGGTAAATTTATTTCCATCTTAGACCAACATGGGCCTTTCAAACAACACGGCAAAGGAAACATATAATAAAATGAGAACATCTCAGAAAAGATGCTGAGAATTAAACCTTCGGGCTCTGGAAACTGTTTCAAAACTTACTCTTTTATTAAATTGGTTTGGTTTCAAGATGAGATCACTGCTTCATCCCACAGTCCTTTTTCCAGAGGGTTAAATAGCAGAACCATCTGTTAACCAGATGTTACTTTTCTCTGGGGAAGTAAACTGCTGTGATATCATTTTCTGACTAAGAGTAAATTTTAGATCCTGACCATTGACACAGTGATTTTCCTTATAGTTGACTACTCGAAATGGCTTGTTGTTCTCTGTCAACAATGGACATCAATGTACAGGCTTCCAATGATTCCCCAGCTGCATTTACTGCATTACCCAAGAAATCCTTTTACTATCTATTTAGTTTTAGTCTTTAAACCAGGAGATAGGAACTGAATTTCTGTTTTGGGATGCAATTTACAATCCCCCTTCCCTTTTCTGTATTGTTAGCTGGAGGGTCTGGAAAGGAATGAAACTGAACTGAATACCATAGAAGCCAAGAAACTGGCCCACCAGCTACGGGCAGTGACAGACCAGATGGAGCGCTACTTTGGCAATGATGTTCATATCACATACCGCCTGCTGTCCCGCTTGATGGCATTTGAGAGCAGGCAGCATGGCTTTGGCCTCACAGCCACCCAAGATGCCCACTTCAATGAGGTAGGCACCTTTTCCATGACTCAATATGTGGTGAAATTGGATGGAGGGGAATTTGGATTTCTGGAATGGCTCTTTCCAACCTTACTGGCAAGTAGACTGTCACTAAAGGCGGGGGTGGCAAGAATCATAGTGCTTTGACTGCTAAGCACAGTTGCAGCTGTAGGAAGCGGTTTGCGAAGGATGCGGCTAAAGAAAGGCCCACGTAAATGTAATGGAATATTTCCTACTAGTTTTTAAAAGCCTTGCAATGTGCATTGTGAGCTCATTGTGAGATGAGAAGGCACAAAGGAAGCTTTGACTTTGAGGAAAGATGGCCTTGCTGTAGACATCTGAACTAAAGGGTTCCTGGTTTGCATTCAAAATCTTATGGCACTTTGTTCGTTCGGCTAGCTGAAAGTAGGCTTTGCATTATGTGCTATGGAGCAGTTGGTTGGTGGCTCTGTACCAGGTCTGGGAAATAACTCTCAAACTACCCAGATGAGAAGGCACAAAGGAAGCTTTGACTTGTGAATGTTTATACCCTGGGAATCTTGTTGGTCTTTAAGATGCTACTGGACTCGGAACTTACCCAGATACACACACACAAATCTTAACTGATCCTGACTCTGCATCTAAAAAGAAGTTGGTGCCGGAGTGGCAGCCACAGAAACATTTTTCCAGTTCCTCATACATAGAGGGCACTTTTTCTGTAGCGCGGTAACTTTTTCGTATGACCAAAGCATTCCAGCACATGTGAATCCACTGAGCAAGTGACTGTGGCGTGTTTGCTTCTTCAGCAATATGTGAACAACCTCATCTGCAGCAGTCAAGCAGCGTGGGAATGTCTGTCCAGTGCTGCATCACTGGCTCTCCATAATGGTTTTCCTTTGCACCATCCCTCCCAGCCCATGGGGCCTTGCAGTGAGAATACAACTTGGAGCTTATTAACTGCTGTCCTTTATAGAATTTATATCGCCAATACCTGCCATTATGTTTTACAGCACACATGGCCTGGCCCGACAAAGTGACATTTATGTCAGATCCGGCCCTCGTAACAAATTAGTTTGACACCTCTGATTTAGAGCGTCATGTTCTGTCCATCCTCTCTGTCCCCAGAACCTGCTGAAGGCTGGCAGCTCAGTGCTAGCGCTAGAGAACCGGGAGCACTGGGACACGTTGCTACAGAACGATCACGGTAGTGCAGGCCTGATGGAACAGTTGAGAGAGTACACCGGCACACTGGCCAGCAACATGAAACTCACCTACCTCAACCCTGTTGGTGTGGTAACCCCCAATATTGGTAAGTATTGACTCAGCTGGGGCCAGAAGGCCTGTGTAGTTTTGATATGGTAGTCCATTGACCCCACCCCCACCCCACCCCGCAGGGCTGTATGAATGCTGCTAGTCGTAGAAAGGCAACAAATAATTATAAATAAGTAAATGAAAGTGAAGGTGGCCAGAATAAGGAATGGCCATTAGGGATGGGCATGGTAGCTAGCATGCTTCCTGTATCAGACGCAAAGCCTTTTTACAGCAATGGTGATGATTAAGGGAGCTATACTAAGCAGGCCTGCCCAGAAGTAAGTCCCCTGGGTCTTTCTTCCAGGAAAGTGTCCTTAGGATAGGAGCCAAAGTGACTTAAATCGTCTGACTAAGAGCTGAACTGTTTCACCAGAGACTGTGACTATGCTGCTTCAAACTGGGCCATGATCACATGAGATCAGAGCATGGTGCCTAGTCTGGATTCCCTGGCCAATGATGATGATACAGTATTCTCCCATAGTATATCACTCTTGCTTTATTTTAGGGAGTTTGTCCCACATGTTACAGTTTAGGTCTAGAGTACAAAAATGATGGCCTGAGAAGTTCCAGTGCAGAAACATGCAGGCATCTTTACAATAAGGTACCAGAGAAGTTGCCTATGTCGTCTCCCATTCCTATCAGAGAATGCAAAGAATGTTACTGGGAGATTAGATGCAGATGCATTGCTTGAGTCCCACCTCATTCTTCTCTCAGTTTTGTGAGCAAGTATCTACAAATGGAGGGCACCTTCCCATGTTATTTCTTTTAATACTGGTGTGCATATCCCCCCTTAACACATGCAAAGCACTGATCTATTTTCCAGAGAAGCAAACAAATGCATGTCTTTTCTTTTAAATATGTATAAGTTTTACTACAGCTGCACTATCTTTACACAGCAATGCTGCTAGAAAGAAACACGGGAAGTAGCCCTAAGAGATTTAAATATACTTCACAGTATATTTGTGCCTGTGGTTACAGGTGCCTCTGAGCATGTACACATTTAAGTTTTCAATGAGACATTTCCCACTTTGTTTCTCTGCTCTTACATAGGAAGATCAACTCTGAAATCTCCAACTTATTCTCTCTCACTTTTCCCCACACAGTGCTCAGCATTGACCGTATGGAGAATACCACTAACACCAGGAGACGCTACCCTCGTTATCACAGCAGCCTCTTCCGCGGCCAGGCCATGTGGGACCCACACACCCACATAGTCCTTACACCTCCCAAAGTAGAAGGTAAATGGCTGCTGTGTCTGTTCTCTGTGAGCCCCATCTCAGTGGACCAAGAAACCATTGCCTCCTTCATGGGCATTCGACCTTACCATTTATTGTTCTTTGGGCAGTTAGAGGAGCAAAGGGCATGGCTAAGACAGACTTCTCATTGCAAATGCTCTGGCTTAGAGCTCTTGACTCCATTGCTTAATTGACTCCAAAGCAATGTTCCCTCTAAACTGTGGATTCTTGTGAGAAAAAAAAATTCTGCTTGGTGAGCTACTGGCATCAAAGTTGTGAGCGAGTGATTTGGCTATTGCATCTATTAGATTGCTCTGGAGCCATCCTTCCTGAGCTAAGACAAAAAGTGTGATCCGGAGGGTAAAAAACTGTGAGCTAGCTCACACTAACTCAGTTTAGAAGGAACACTGCTCCAAAGGTAGTTGGCATGCTTAACAGGGACAGAGACCACTTGCTTGTCAGGAGGGAAGGAGCTGGAAGAAATGTTGATCCTTAGCTGCAGACCAGCTCTTTCTCAACGATTCAGTGCCCAGGCTGCAAGGACAGCTGTTCTCTCTTTGTCCTTGAGGAAAAGCAGCTACCTTTACTCCAAAAGGACCAAGAAGAGTCCTTTGGACTTACAAGCTAAGCTCAGAAGACTCCAGAGGAGGGATGCAGTGACAACACTGGACATCTCTGCCCCTCCTTGTCATTTGTCCTACCTCCAACTGGGGCAAGACAGTAGTCTGGCGGTCATTTGGACCCACCTGTGAGGGAGCTTTTCTTTCAGCAGTCATATGGAGATTAAAACATTTTTGACTGAATTAAAGCATTAACCACTAAAACTTGGTACAGAATGCTACCATGAAACATTCGTTCTTCGTAGGACACAGCCCTCAGTCTCTACGTGAGATAGTGAGGGTTGTTAGTTTGTTTGTTCCAGGTCCAAAGTGAGACCCTGCATTTCCCAGCCAATAAACAATCAATTAATAAAACTTTTATTTAAAACTGTTCTGATAAATACACAGTACCCTGGCGTACCCCATAGAAATCAATCCTGTATACGAGTGCATGTCATTCCTATTCTACCTAAGCTGTCTTTAAGAAAAAAGGTTAAGTTGCAAAGCTTCTTAGCCACTGTTCTGTCTATTAAGAGGAAAGCAGATTTCACTGAATTCCAAATCTGAGAGATTCATAGGGTATAGGGTACAGCCAGCTTATACAGATGCTAGTACACAAGCCCCGCATGACTTTATTGAACCTTCTGATTTGTGCCTCTCTAAAGGAGCTGCGGTGGCTCAAGTGGTTAAGACGCTGAACTGCAGGCTGTGGAAGGTCGGTAGTTCAGCAGTTCAAGACCCGAGTGTGCCACATGACGGAGTGAGCTCCCATCTCTAGTTCCAGCTCCTGCCAACCTAGCAGTTCGAAAGCAAGAAATTGCAAGTAGATAAATAGGTACCACTTCAGTGGGAAGGTAACAGCGTTCCATGCACCTTGGTGTTTAGTCATGCCGGCGACATGACCACGGAAATGTCTTCGGACAGTGCTGGCTCTTCGGCTTTGAAACGGAGATGAGCACCGCAACCCTAGAGTCGGATTTGACTGGCTTTCGAGCAAGGGAACCTTTACCTTTACCTTTAAAGGCTTAATATGATGCTGCTCTGAGCATGCTCTGATAGACACTATTTTCACAATGGGTTTCCCCCCCCCCCTGAGTATTGAATTAACTTTATGGGATTGTTCTTTGTGTTGGAACCCAGCATGGCACATGATCGCCCTTTCTAAACCCATTCTAAGAATGAAGAATACACCTCTTCATTTGTGCCTGCTTCTTCGAGGCTGAAGAAATTAAGGAAAACTTCCACAAGGAACCCAAAAAACCTCTAAGGAAGATGCCGTCAAGCCTTGCGTGCCAAACATATCCATAAAGTCCATATAGGAAGTGCACAGCACCCATGATTAAGAGACCGTATTCCATGACAGCAGTGCCACTGGTCCCTTCCTGTTTTGCTTCCCTAATTCCAGCTCCAACCACCGCTACATCTGTATCAGCCAGCAGTGAAACCAATGACACCATGGAAAGCTCCCCCCCAAAGCACTCCCTGCCAGAACCTGAGCCTGCTGTAACTATCCTCATCCTCATAATCTACCGCACACTTGGAGGGCTTCTGCCTGCCCGCTACCAGGTGGATCGCCGCAATCTCAGGTACCAACTGCTGCTTATTTCTCTGCTGAGCTCTTTGTTAGGCTTCCTTCTGAGCACTGCCAGCTCTCTATGGGCACCCTATGGGCAACCTACGTTTGCTGTCAAGAGTATTAGGAAGCAGCTTGTTTGGGGTCTGCAAAGGCAGCTCACACTCCAGTACTGTTATGACACTAACAGTCTAAGGTTGATTGGCGCCAAATGGCACCCTGTAACAAGGCTTCTTTGTTCTTTACAGGCTCCCCAAAAACCCTGTTATGAATTCCCCCATAGTGAGTGTGTCTGTGTTCAGCAATCACACCTTTCTCCAGGGAACTTTGGAGACACCCTTAGTGCTAGAATTCCGCCTGCTTGAGACTGTCAACCGCAGCAAGCCCCTCTGTGTTCAGTGGAATCACTCTAGCCAGTAAGTTCATTTGCTGCTGCACCATGTTTTCTTCCCTCTTTCTTCACTTTCATTTGCCTTTGGACTTTTCTGGGAGAGTCCACAGGGTCAGAGGACAGACCACTGGGCTCGATCACGGGAAACCAAGCATCTAGTCCAGCCCCGGGCTTTTTTTTGTGTGACACTGGAAAGAAGTGCTTTACTTATCTGTTCCTTAGACAAAGTTTGTGTGTAAATATTCCTCTCCCAGTAACCACATCACAGCTTGAACATGTGGAACAACCATCACAGATCAAACGCAGACAGAGGTTTTTTGTCAGCTCATCTCAAATGCCAGAGAAGGGGGTTCAACTTTCAGCCATAAGTCATCACATGAGAATTTGCTTTCTGCTTCCCTTTCACTTTAGAGTAATTATCCTTGGTTTTCAGCATTCCCTCTGGGCAAGGGTATGATGTTGTTGTTAAACACTGATAACTACTACTGCTACTGAGCAGTCATTTGGCATCAACAGATAAGAAACTGAGGAGATGTGGTTCCAGCCTAGTACAAGATATGGATCGGGCGGAGTTTGGGATTAACAAAGAGGTAGAATGAAGTCAGGTGATTAGAGAAGCAAGTTGAGGCGGGACGGTTCAAGAAAAAGAAGAGTGCTTCAAGAAAAGTCTTGAAGGAGGTGGCTTTGAGGAAGAGGGGAGAGGCTGCTTGGACACAAGGAACAACGTAACATAAAGCACAAAAGTAGAAGTGGGAGGAAAGAATAAGAAGTGGCACTCATAGAGAGTTGAAGCATTCAGTGCATTTTGTACACATTATCTTGTTGGAATCTTACACCATCCCTGTTGGGTAAGCTAGAGAGCTGCCTACCTAAGTCCCCTTAGTAAATCTGTAGCCAGGACAAGATTTGAACTGTGCACTTCCTGGATCATAGCTCATTCTCTTGGTCATCCCTATTGTAACAAAAGGAAAAGATAGTCTATGACCTTGCATAGATGGAAAAACTAGGTATAAGGGAGAGACTTCCAAAGAGATTCAGAATCATAGAATCATAGAGTTGGAAGGGGCCATACAGACCATCTAGTCCAACCCCCTTCCCAAAATCTGGAATAAAGAGTTAAGTGATAAGAAAACCCTTAAAGTCGATGCAAATCATTTTAAGGAGTGGCTGCAGTGGTTTAAGGAGATAGTGGTATGGTCAGAGAACAGGAGGAAAGCTCAGCTGGTTACCAAACGGTGAATAAGTACTTCCCCTGCTCTATATCTGTCTCACTGTCACTGCTGAATAAGTAGAAATCAGCAATCCCTACCACATTCCCTTCCACAAACGTGAAACTGGTCTTCTGTGTTGCTGTCCCACAGAGCTGATACATTGAAGTGTCCTCTTCTGTTAAGGGCTGAATTAATCAGCTTTGGCCATCTACTGGGGTGGCTTCTCTGTTTAAGATAATCAACTCCCTCCAGATCCCTTAGAAGAGGTAGCTAAACTATCCAAATGGAAAAACTATTTCCTTCACAAAAAACCATACTAGTACCAGTACCTTTCAACAGTATCTTCATGCTTGCCTCTTAAAAGAGACCTCTCTTTTTTTGATTTCTTTGTGACTGCAGAATCGAGCCCACTGGTTTCTGGACAGCACGGGACTGTGATCTTGTGTATCGAAATACCACGCACGTCCGCTGCCACTGCTCCCAGTTTGGCACTTTCGGAGTCCTGATGGACAGCTCCCACCGAGAGGTGATTCTAGTTCCTTAGCCAGAATTCTAGTTCTATATACATCCATGGTTTTCGGATGTATAAACAGAGAACTCAGTGATGAAAATCAGAACAGTATGCTGTGATGTCATGAAGGGGCAAACTAGATGCACAAGTAAAACAGAAATGACATTGGTTGTACATTTCTTCCCCCCACCCAAAACATGCACATCTACCTTATATCAGTTTTCTGGGGTTATATCAGTCTTCTGGGGTTGGAGCCAGGCTGGGGAGAAAAGCACCTTCAGTATCTTAGCATGGGTGGTGGTGGTAAGGAGAATGACAGGGCAGGGTTCAGATGCTTCATCAGCACATAACCCTTCTTGTAAGATTAGACTCTTCTCCCCAATCTACTTCATGCTTAAATAAAGCAGCAGCATGATCAACCAGTGTGGCTGCCTTGCCACAGCCCTGGCATGTAGCAAGACGCAGGCAGGGGGTGATCTAAACATGCAGGAGGCCTACCTGATCATCTGAGCAATGCCGAGCAAGAAAAAGAAGAAGCCTGAGGAGAAGCCCTGCTGTATCTCCATCTCAATATTATGCTGATGAAAAAGACTGGTTCATGCAGACTCTGCGCTTTCTCCCTGACACCTTTCTACTTTGGTTTCTCCCCGCAGCAGCTGGAGGGCGACCTGGAGACCTTGGCCATTGTGACCTATTCCTTGGTGTCTCTCTCCCTGGTGTGCTTGCTGCTGACCTTCTCCTTCCTGGTATGCCTGAAAGGTCTCAAGTCCAACACTCGGGGCATCCACTGTAACATCTCTGTCACCCTCTTCTTCTCAGAGCTTCTCTTTCTCTTGGGCATCAACCAAACTGAAAACCAGGTGAGAGAAAGGGGGGAGGGAAGGACCAGCCTCTGAACACGGTAGGCCAGGAAGCCAGTAGGAGCTCACCTGCTAGGATGTGGAGAGGGGAACAGGTTTGTAAAAGAAGGTCAACAAGAAGGATCAACAGTCATGCTAAGTGAAGGATTTGCATGCCCTGAAATTCACACACAGATAAGCCAGCAGGCTTCTAGGTTTCCTCTGCAACTCTGACAGAAGTTGAGATTCCCAGGATTCTTCTCTGATGTCTAGACTGATATCCCACTCCATGCTCCATTGCACAAATGCAATAACGGGAAGATTCAAGGTTGTGCAGGTTGTTTTGGTATAGGCCCTTAGGTTGTGGGGAATGTGGCACTGTATTTGTTGGACTTTCCAAAGTCAGCGGGGATGTTAAAGAAATCATGTTAAGGGAGAAATCGGTCAACTAGGCGTGTTTTTTAAGAGGGCTTCTACCAATGGTGGGTGATCTTGCTCCTTCTAGTTCCTCTGCACTGTGATTGCCATCCTGCTGCACTACTTCTTCCTCTCCACGTTTGCTTGGCTCTTTGTGCAAGGGCTCCATATCTACCGCATGCAGACTGAAGTCCGCAATATCAACTATGGAGCCATGAGGTTCTACTATGCCATCGGTTGGGGGGTCCCTGCCATCATCACTGGTAAGTACAGATGTGCTTAGAAAGTTAAGATGTCCTCAGCCTATCAAAGGAAATGTGTCCTGTAAATTGTTTTACAGAGCCAGGAACAAAGCGGTAGAGTCACTTGTCATCCAAACTGCCTTTCCTCCAGTATTGGGTGACCAAGATATTAGGTATAAGATACAGAACGTCCAAAGTCAAAGTGACTCCACATCCACTGTCCAGATCAAATGTGTGGTTGTGTGTATTAAAGTTGTAAGCATAAAGGTGTGAGAATTCAATATTTCAGGTCTACATTCATAATTGTTTGTGGGATTAGTCGGGAGCAATCGTATAGTTCGGACATTTTTAAACACGGTGGGCCTCCACAAGAATACAAGCCTTATGCAAAATAGCCAAATAGTTCAGCTAGTCCTCCCTTTAGAAATAAAAGAACCAAAAGGAAAAAAAGATGCAGTTTTGCAGTGACCACAATATGCTTTAAGATGCCAGGGCAAAAGCCTTGCAAGAAGCCAGGGGTGTTGGAGGAGTACTGTGCAACTGCCGGGTTATCAGTTGGCTTGGATCCAGAGGGCTACGGGAACCCAGATTTCTGCTGGATTTCCATTCATGATAAACTGATCTGGAGTTTTGCCGGGCCCATTGCTGTTGTCATTCTGGTAAGTACTGCTTACATATAGTCACTGTTTGCTAAGACTCTCTGTCCTTAACTCTTCCCCATTCAGTGTATCTTCATCCCATTCTGCTTCACCCTACTTCCTTTACCTTTCATAAAAGTCTGGCGAGAAACCTGGCTCATTTTTCATTCACCTTCCTTCTCTATTTATCATGTTTATTCTCCTCTTCCTGAAGATTCATGAACCTCAGCGGAATTTGCTGCTCTTTGACAATTGCACTCTCCTCTTTTCTGCTCTTCCTCCTTTTCTATTTTACCAAGACGCTGAACAAGAACTTGTAGTACAGAGTTTTTTGTGCAAACTCCAATAAAGCTGGCTGGACAGTCTGCACCAGACAAAAGGTTGTATCCTACGATCCAACAGCAGAAAGTGCTGGTGGTCACAGAACTTACCCCCATTCCTCTCCCCCCAGTAGTCCTTTCAAACCCCGGGGAAGGTTTATTCATGGAGTTAAGAGACCCAAGTGGAAGGATAGCCCCATGGGTTGGGAGGATGAACTGGGGAGGGGGGAGGGGACAAAATCACCCCATCTCTTCCATGCAACCCCAGGAATAAACTTCTCTAGGATCAAAAAGGATTGCTAGGCGGGAGGGGAATGTGGGAAAGATCTGCAGTCCTTGCACTCTTGGATTGCAGGATCCAACCCAAAGCCTCCATGGGGGGGGGGAATTGGAGGGAAGGGCAGAATTGACAAGACAGTGACACTGTGCAAGGGCTGAGCTGTTCCTAACCAGCCGGTCTGCTTCCAGATGAATGGGGTGATGTTCTTGCTGGTGGCAAAGATGCTGTGTTCCCCAGGGCAGAAGGAAACCAAGAAGAAATCCGTTCTGTGAGTATTAACTAGCCACAACACTGTGAATAGCCAGAAGGCTGCTATGTAGCAACGCTTTTTGTTGTTGTTGTTGCAAATATTTTTTTTTGAGCACCATTCCCCCATGAGCCACTTCCTGCCTTCATCATGGTAGAATCCCACCATGTCTCTTGTCATTCCGTCTTGAGATGTACTCCCTTGGTTTGTTTGTCTGTTCTTCCAAATGTTCTTCCAGTTTGAACTGCCTGCCTCCCCTGCAACTGAAGTTGCTTGAGGCAGGAACTGTGAGTGTTGTCATTACTCCACTAATATTTGTTTGTAATGCTGGAGTTATGAGTTAGAAAAGCCCCCATAAAGAGTCACACTGGAGGAGCCAGACTCCTAGCACACTGTATGGGTGTGGTGGGCGGGCTCCTGTGTTTCCTCCTCTTTCTACATCGGTGTCTGTTGGATTGCGGCTCACCTGCAGATTGTAACCTCTGTGTCTGTCCTTTTGGGTGGCTCTTTCTCTCTCTCTCTCTCCAGCATGACGCTGCGCAGCTCCTTCGTTCTGCTTCTAGTTATTAGCACTACTTGGCTCTTTGGCCTCTTGGCTGTCAACAACAGTGTCCTGGCTTTCCACTACCTCTACACTATCCTCTGCAGCCTTCAGGTAACTCTCTGCACAAGGGCAAAGATGGTTAGGTGGAACTTAGTGGCACGGGCAGAGGGGAAGATGACCGGCTTCTGTTGAGAGCTGTTCCAAAGAATTTGCTTGCCAGATGAGTCATACTTCTTCCTGTACATTCATTTCCATTGACTCTCAAAAGAGGGTTGCCACATGTCACGGAGTGCTGCTGTTGGAGAAACAGAGGTCCAGGTCTCAGGCACACAATTACTATGGTTGCACAGTGGTTTGAATCCTGGCCGCTGTCTCTACACAAAAGCCAAGCATGAACAAGACGTTCAAGGAGGGAAAAGGCAGAAATTCACCTGCCTACAAATACTTGCTAAAACATTCATAAAATATACTTTAACAGCAAATTTGTCCGAGTCACCTTGCTAAACTTTCTGAATACCTGATTGGTGTCAGATGTTTGCTTCAGTACTGCTAATCTGCTAGTCTTGTCATGTCTTTTTATTCATTGGGCTTCCTTTAGCAGATGTTTAGTGCGCTGATCTGTTTGGAATGTTTTCCCCAAGAGCCTTTCTAGCACACAGGCTTTATACGTGGACCTATTCTGCCCTCTAATGGAAGCCGTAGGGAGTGGTTGTGCTAATTAGGTTTCTCGGGCCTGTGAATATTAACAGTAATATTTTGTGTTTATGTAGTGTTTTCCCCCCATGCATTCCGGAACAAGTAAGAAGAATCTGGACCATCAGATCCCATGTGAGATAGGATAATAAGCATCCAGCTTTCCTCTCCAGTGAGTCATAAATGGTCTTGGTATGTCGACTTCAGAGCCTCTTCTTCCTCTCCATCACAGGGCTTGGCGGTGCTGGTTCTGTTCTGTGTCCTGAACGAAGAGGTGCAGGAAGCCTGGAAGCTAGCCTGCCTTGGCAAAAAGGGTCAGAGTGAGGAAGCCAACAGAGGTGGTCAGGTGGGAACTACATTTGACCTTACTCAAGGGAAAGATAACTTTTTCCAGGCCTTGGACTTTGCTATAACACTGCCCTCTCCCCTGGAGACTTATGATTACTGCTTAACTCTGACTTCCCTCCAGTGGTATAAAATGGAAGTCGGTGTAACCAGCCTTTCTTCTAATGGTTTCAGAATTCTACCCTAGGTAAGGCTCTCCAGCCTTAGGCAGGGAGAAGTTCCACAAATGTTTCTTTTCCATCACAAAGCATCAGTGAAGAATGAAATCACATTTGCTGAGGTTTTTCCTCCCTGTCATGCGGGTATTAATGACAATAACCGCTTGTCCATGATGAGTTCTAGCAACCCACAAGAGGGTTATAACATTTTGAACCGAATGAAGAAAGTGGATAGAGAAGACCTTTTTCTTCCTGTCCAGTATTTACAGAATGTGTGAGCACTCAGTGACGTTGACGGGCAGCAGATTCAGGAAAGGCAGAATGAAGTATCTTTTTACACATTTATTTATTTATTATTGAGTACATTTAAAAGAGAACTACCAAGGCAGCCCGTTGCAGGGCCTTTTCTTTAGATTTTGTATTATGGTAAACACAGTAGCATCTAATTTCTCCTTCCCCTTCTCTGAGCAACACCACAGGTGTCATTTGGGTTCTACAGCAATTCCATTTTCCCCAGGGGAACTGTAGTTCTGCAAGGGCTACTGGAGGCCTCAAAAAGAATTCCGAGCACCCTTGCTCAACTACGGCCCCGGTCACACGAGAGGTTTTGGGCCGGGAGAGGGACGGATCGGGGCCACAGCAAACGGGCGCAATCCCACCGCAACATCTGGGAAGCGTTGCGCGCCCGTTCCTGATCCGGCCCTTCCGCCCAAAACCCCGCAGCAAAAATGAACCACCTACCATGGTGGTTCATCTGGGAAGGCCGCATCAAAGCCGGCCGTGGGATCGCCGGCGCGTCCTTCCGCCGGCGCATCCCCGGCGCCTGGCCAAACTGTGCATGCTCACACATGCACAGTTCGGCAGGCTCCCCCTCCTGATGGTAGCTTCCTCCCCAGCATCTGATCGTGCCGGGGAGCAATGGCGCTGCGGCTCAGGGGATCTCTACTTTGGTGCGGCTCTGATTTGCCGCACTTTGGCCGATGTTTTTCCTGCCGTGTGGCAGGGTCCTCTATGATTCTTTGGGGAAGCCAAGACAGATTAAATCAACGTGTTTAACCCTATAGACAGGCCCTCTGTATTTTTGTCTCCATGACACACCTTTAGTGAGGGTAGAACCAGTTGTGGGTCACAACTCAACCACTGAAGAGGACAGGAGCATGGAACTTGGGGACTCAGTCCCAGTTTCCAAGCCCTGTTCCTCCTGTTACTTCTTCAAAGAGTAATTGAGGGAATAAGAATACTCCCTCAAAATGGCTGACCACTGCATTAAACAGGTTGCTGTTTGGACCAGTGATCCAGGATGGCTCATGGGTTGTTAATTAACTTGAAGAATTCAGTGCAAGATGTAGTGATAGCAACTAATTGAGTTGGCCTTAAAGGGGGAATTATACAGATATCCACAGCTAGCCATGATAACTAAATGGAACCCCCAGAGGTAGCCCTCTGAATACTAGAGGGGGGGAAATAATGGGAAGGGTTTGGCCTCCATGCCCTGTTTGTAGGCCTTCAAGGGGCATTGGGCTGGCTATTATGTGAAGCACAATGCTATGTTAGATGGATCACATCACAGGTGGTCCGATCCAGCATGGATCCTTTAACTTTTCCCAAGTGGGCCATCAGTGCTTCCTAGGAGTTGCCCTCTCTTATGCTTCAGCCACGTTTGCGTAGCCTTGTCCTGCCAATGAAGTTTCATTGCCCTTGAGCGTTACTGTGTCTCAGCGACCAATGAGAAAGAGCTTTATGAAGAATGCATGCTTAGAGTCAGTTTCATTTTGTATACCTGAGTTCATAGAGTGTCTGTACAAGTACTCAGCTTTGGGATCCAGAAAGCTGGTCAGAGACTTGCAAAGGAAAGGAAAAAATGGCCAGTACTTCTTAATATTTATGGACAGGAAGAGATTCTAGCCACTCAGATGACAGAGGATGAATGAACTATAAGTAACCCCTCAGTCCTATATGACAAGCCACTCTTGCTAAAGTTCCCTCTTCTACAGAAGCAATCAATAAAAAAAACAGGTGCCCCATCTTCCTTTGCATCTTGCTATCTTGCTATACCAATAATATGTGTATTCTTAAGTGTGTTCTTCATATTGGCCTCAGTGCTTTTTTAGGGAAGAGCTCTCTTAGTATGCGGAAGATTCTCCAAACATCTTCTTTAAAAAGGTGACTGTATGTTTTTGCTCTTCGGTCACAGGGCCCTAATGCCTACAACAACACAGCTCTGTTTGAGGAGAGTGGTCTCATCCGTATCACCCTGGGAGCTTCCACCATCTCATCTGTCAGCAGCGTGCGCTCAGCCCGCACCCATTCCAGCCAGCGAGGCTACCTCAGG